AGGCCAGGATCAAAAGTTGCTCCCGCTTTATGTTGAATTTGGTGAGTTGAGATATTCCCTTTAATTGGCCTCATTCCCCTTCCTCCCTGTTTTCCTGAACTGGATACAGATAAATGAGGGCATCTCAGCATACTATGGGGGTCAGGAAAGCAGTTTCTACAGCCAGATGCCCCCCTCACCTTTGAAGATGAATGAGGGGAACATGCCTGGTGTGTCCCCACCTCACCCACCTCTGCCTGGGGTCTTGACTGAAATCCCCCCCTAAGCTTCCAGAGCTGAGGAGATCTGTGCACTCATGTACCCTCACATACACTCATACTCAGTAAAAGGGATTGAGACAGTCCCTGGGGGGTGTATCACCACAGGCAGCTGTAGCTCCAAAAGCCAAGCATCTGCAATGTGTATGGGGGCCACATGTGCCTACAGGACTAAATGAAACATCTTTTCTTTCCACGGGAAAATCCATACTCCATAGCTGGTGTGATTTGTTTGCACATGACTCAGGTTAGTCCTTCTTCACCTAACAAATACTCGTCTTCCCATAGAGAAGGATGAGTACACCCCTAAATCATAAAATTTGGTGTTTTTACTGCCATGGACATCTTTAATGATTTTTTACAGCTTTAACTCGTCTGAGCATCTGTGGTGAATTATGACTTTGTTCCAAAGCAGTTTCCAGTTCCCAGGAGCTGCTCTGGTTCTCCAGGGTGGTGTATACCTGTCACTGTGCTCTGATGGTCTCAAGGCTGCTCATCCCTTGTCCTATAAACACTATCATTTCTCTCCTTCTCTGGAGAACAGAGGGCGGCTTATTTCTTTAGGCAGGATTCAGGTTTTGCACCTCTTATTACATACACGCACACAAACACACACAGGCAATGTCTTATATATGACTTGCGGAAATCTTGAAGCGGTTTGTGGATCCCCAGAAGCTTCTACAAGAATATCAGTTTAAAGTGTTTTGATTTAAATGGAAACATTTTTAGTATTTGCATCTGATGCTCTATATGTTGGGTAACTGTCCATATTCTCCTCAAAAGTCCCTCTTTCAACGTCTATACAACCTTTGTCATTGCAAGTCCACTGACAGCTCCCCTCACTCTTTTGAGAGAGGTGCCTGAGAGGTGAGGTGGTACACGGTGGCCCCAGGAAGTAGGAGACAGGTTGCCAAGGTTCACAGACATTACCATTAAGGTTTTGAATTCTGCCATTGGTTTCCTGGCAGTGTTTTTAAACACAGGGGGCAGGACCAAAGCTCTGGTGGCAATCATGGGAGTCCCAGCTCTTATGTCCCTTCAAAAAAGAACTGGGGGTGGGGGGAATCAGCTAGCAGCCTCCCACTGCAGTGCCTCAGGACTTACTGTAGGCTCAGATGTAGCCCGCTCTCTCCCAGGTGAGTTTCCAGTGACCATGTGTGGCAGGGGTGCCAGACCTGTCCATTTATGCCATGGGACACCTTTTTTTTTTTAATGTTTATTTATTTATTTTGAGAGAGAGAGAGAGGGAGCAAGCATGAGTGGGGGAGGGGCAGAGAGGAAAGGAGAGAGAGAATCCCAAGCAGGCTCTGTACTGTCAGCACAGAGCCTCACATAGAGCTTGATCTCATGAACTGTGACCTCATGACCTGAGCTGACAACAAGAATCCAATGCTCAACCAACTGAGCCACCCAGGTGCCCCTCTATGGGCAACCTGTGGTGTTGTTGGGCCAGCTGAGCCATCACAGCTGCACCATGGTCTGAGGCTCTACCTGCCCATCCTTCCCACCCCCTTTCATCACAGATGTCCGATCTGTGCTATGCTTCAGGCTTCTCTTGCAGGCTTTTGCTTCCTCTCCCCTCTATCTTTCCCAGGTGTCCCTCCAATAAATCTCTTGTATTTCTAACTCTGTCTTGGTGTCTGTTCTGGGAGGATCTTCATGGACACAGCTCTGTTCACAGGTGACATTGTTGGGCACTTCACACAATCCCACCTTACCTTCCCAGATCCCTACCTGCAAACAGCCCCCACAATTTGCCAACCCATTTTGTCACAGTAAAAGTCTATTGGGTATTAGGTTCCATCCTTCTGACTATGCAAGTTAGTAGGGTTAATCAGACCACCCCATACAGCATACTGTAAGGTGCTGAGGTTCCCCAGCGATGAGACAGAGGCATGAGATGGTCAAACATATACTTTATTTCTGTATGGAAATTCTTTCTAGGATCCCAGGCTGGATAACAGAAATTTCAGGAACAACCCCTGTCTACTTATAGACTCTTCTCAAAAACCAGGTCAATGAGGCCAGCTCCTGAGTTCCCTTTTCCCAGGAGTCCTCTTAGTCTTTCCAAAAGAAAGGACATTCCAGTGTTTTCAAATCCCGGTGGGAGTGGGGAGGACAAGGATTCCTGCCCTTCAGTTCCTCCCAGAAAGGTCTCCCACCCACCCCTCAAATCCTGTGATTTGACTGAGTCTGTGATCTATGTCTCAACTCCTTTCTGTGATGAAATGAAGAGGATGAGGATTGGCACAGCACAAATAACACATTGACAGCAACTGGATCCCACGTTTTGGAAGTAACATAACAAAGATGGCCCCATGATGTCTTATATTCTATTACTACTGAACACTACACCAAGGAAAAACACTCTGGAGATAAACACAGGGTGGCACATTTCTATAAAAATGAGACCCATGCACAGTGCAAATCATGGTGTTTCTCACACATGGGAGCTGACAACATTTTAATAAGTTCAGTGGAGAGTGGGTTACAGGAAGGCTTGCTGGGCTTTCTCAGTAGAATGTTCTGCCATATCTGAACCAGTCAGGACCATCCAATATTCTCTCATATTATGTGTGGTGCTGATGCTGTCCAACCACATCCTTCCAATTTCCTTGGTGGCTCCCTTTGCAATGATCTCAGTGAACTCATTGCAGAAGTCTCTCTGAAGGTGCCAGCTTTTAGCTTGATTTTCCACGTTGAGGGTGGGTCTTTTAACTCCTGGGGAGAATGTGCTTCTCAGCTGCCTCCATGCCTGATGGGTAGTCTCAACCCGCTGGGGACAGGTGGGCTAGCCACAAACCAGTCTGGTAGGTTCCTCAAGATTAGAAGGAGTTTCCTGCTCCCCAGCTTAGGGCTAAGCACAGAGCAGGTAATCAACAAATCCTTGTTGAATTCTTCTCTCACCTCTTCAATAGAGAGGATGTTCCCAACTCCTAGACACATTTCTTCTTGGTATTTTTCATAATCATGTTGGTTCCTTATATACCCCTCTGGAATGAATAACATGGTACAGATTTTATTGGAAGTATGACTAATGCTTTGGGCATTGATCATTTTTTTGCCCCTAATTTATGTCTTTCATTCATATATCTGCCCTGAGCTAGCTTTATTTAATTTATTTAATCCTCCCCATGCTTCTTTGCAGAATATGGCTAATGGGTTATTCTGGCATATTCTGTTGCTATACAACTTTCTCAGGGCTGCTAATGTCCTGGTAGGGTTATAGCCTGCATGGCTAGTAAAGGCTATAGAGCCTGTAGGCAGCAGTGGTCTCCATCAACACCACAAATGCAGCACACATGCATCCATTCTTCAAACCACAAGGAAGACATTCATAGATGTTGCATGAGACTTCTGCTTTCAGCCACATCTGGACAAAGCACAATCTGAGACATCAAGAAATTGTGTGCTCACCTGCTGGAAACCTCAAAGCTTTACTGAGACCAGAAGGATTGAATTCATGGCTCTTGGTAGACTGACTGCCTTGTGGGTTATCCCACCCCTTTCAGACAGGAGGCCAGTTAAGCCATGGGGGCAGAAAGGGAGATTCAGAGAATCTGAAAGGAAGATACAAGGTGGCCTCTTCCCACAAGTGGAGCTGCAGGGTCCAGCCTCCTTTCTCACTGGACATCTGAGTGCATGCCTCATGCTAGAATAAAGCTAAGACTGCATTAGCACCCCTGCCCTCAGATACCCCAAAAGCCCAGAGCAGGGAGCCCACATGTTTCTCTTCCTTGATGGCATCTCCACCTGTGGAACTTGGCCTGCTAACACCTGATGGAGAGATGCAAGGTTTGTCATGTCTTTGGTCTGTCAAAGACCAAAACATTCCAGAAGAAGAAAAATACTCATGGTTTTAGGATAAATCAGAGAATGTTTGATATGGATATTGGCACGTTTTAGCAGTTGCTGCTCTCCAGGAACTGGGTAGTAAGTCACTAGATGTTTGAGACTATTCTTTTTGAGACTATCATGTTAAAACAAAAAAACTCATACAATCCTTAAACTACTGAATGTTAAAAGGAATACTCAGGTTATCTAGCTCAGCCCCATATTTTACAAATAAGGGAGGGGAAGCTCAGATAGATTAAGTATGGCATAGGCCTCCTGACTATTGGTCAGTAGCAGACATTAGCTGGTGTCGGTGGACATATTCTGCCATACTGGTTGCTCAGGACAGTCCCTGGGGATATAATGCAGATGGACCTGAGGCTCTCAATCTAAAGAGGTGTTGATGCACTAAAATACTGAGGTCCTTAAAGGAAGGCATCCTTGCTTCTTTTTCATGGATGCTTAGAAGATGGAGTTAAATCTTTCATTTGGATTTTATGTGGTCCCTTCTTTTGTTTACTCTGACGAGTAAAGGCTGATGTGATATGCTCCACCAGCTAAAGGAGAATAATCTGAGCACGACTGTGGACTTCACTGAAGTAAGACGGGGGCTCCAGGTAAATCCAGGTGCTGCAGGATTCATCCCTAAGTGAACCCCCACATACAACCAAAGTTAATTTTAGAATCATGGAAGAGATTTAGGGAAAATCAAGTCCAACCGTGCCATTTTACAAGCCCAGAGAAGTTCAGTGATTTGCCTTGGGTCACACAGCATGGGGGATATCAAACTCATGGAAGAATCCAGTTTTTCTCTTTTTTAAACTCAGGATAGGATGTTTTCCCTAAAACATTCTGCCCTTTTTTACAAACCCCAGTGGTAGGGTATTTCTGATGGTTTCTAAATCAAGACATTATCCATGCATGAAGTGAAGCAAGACAGAGATGGTGGTGGCTGCCCCTGCTGAAGATCTGCGGTCTAGGAGAGCATGTTGGAGTAGAAGCTGAAGCTCTCTGTCATGGTCTTGGAGTCGCTGCGAGAGGAGCCGTTGGACGTCAGGTCCACAGATGAGGGTGTGGTCTTGGGACCATCTTCCAGCTCCTCCTCGTGGGCCCCCACCACCGTGGAGACTGTGGTCTCCAGGCGGCTGACTTTATACATGCTGCCCTGGGTTTGGAGGTACCGGGTGGATTTCATCTCAAGCCCCTCGTAGTCACCGGCACTGATAAAGGGGCAGCACCGGAAGGCATGCTTGAATCCCAGGCGGAACCTGGAGAGAGAGAGCAGATGGGAGAGGTGACCCTTGGGGACAGCCTGATTCCAGAAGGTGTTCTCCCCACTGTATCAGCGTTTTAACACATGGACATGCCCAAGTGTGACTCTCTGTTATTATTATTAGTATTATTTAAAGTTTATTTTGAGAGAGAGAGAGAGAAAGCGCTAGCGCAGGAGGGACAGAGAGAGAAGGAAAGAGAGAATCCCAAGCAGGCTCCATGCTGTCAGTGCAGAGCTAGATGTGGGGCTCAAATCCATGAATTGTGAGCTGAAATCAAGAGTTAGACACTCAACTGACTGAGCACCCAGATGCCTCGTTATTATTTTTTATACTGACAGCTGGGAATGTTAAGGCCAAAAAGATGTGAATGAATGTCAGTCATCAAGGTCCAATACAGGACTAGACCCCAGGTTCATGTGAGATGCATGTGTTCACTGAGGGTGACCACTGAAATATGCTGCCTCCATTGGTACGGGGTCAGCTGACTTTGGATCAATTCAACATTAACAAAAGCATTCACCAAGTGTTTACTCTTTGTATGGTACTGTGCTAGTCACCAGGCAGTAAAAGCACCTGTCAGGACTCCTTTCTCTCAAGTAGACTGCTGACTGAGGATGACTTCAATCACATCCCTTCAATGTGTCTCAGTTTCCCTGTGTGATAAACAGGGAGAATCAGCCTTTACTTAAAGACAAACTGGGATATTTAACACAAGAGTGTTTGGGCAGGTCATCAGGCTCTTTGAAGGAGAATGAATCAGAGTTAAACTAACAAAGAGCATGTGGAATGTTCAAGAGAATGGCTGCCACTAAATTCACAGTACCTGAGTGTATCGTTCACAGAAGGCATTTTATAGGCTGATGATTGAAAGCTATAAAGACTGTGCCAAGCATTTTATTCCTCCTCCCCCCTCTCCCCCCCCCCCCCCCGCCACACACAGAGCTTGCAGTGGTGCTCCAGGTGGTAGACTGGGCTGCCACCATGGCATCCCAGCCCCGTCTCTCAGGACTCTGGACACCGAGCTAAATTCCCTATTGCTGACCACCATTCCTTTTTATTATAAAATATATTTTTAATGTTTATTTATTTATTTTGAGAGAGTGAGCACAGCAGTGGAGGGGCAGAGAGAGAGAGGGAGAGAAAGAATCCCAATCAGGCTCTACCCTGTCAGTACAGAGCCCAATGTGGGGCTTGATCTCATGAACTGTGAGATCATGACCTGAACTGTAATCAAGAGTTGAATGCTTAACCAACGGAGCCACCCAGGTGCCCTGATGACCACCATTCCTGATGGGGTCTCTCTTCTCTTGCTTGTCTGAGTTTGGCTGCTTCTGCCAGAACAACTCTCCTGATCGGTGTGACTGAGTAAGGGCCTTTCCAGTCCTTATTCCTCTTTGCTTACCCTGGCCTGCTGGAAGAAACTGGGTGAAGCTGTGCAAATTGTACGATGAGATAGAAGAGGAAAGTGAGAGACTAGTGAAGGGAAGAGATGCCTGGTGGAGAATGGTATTCTACGGCCATCCTTCCTTCTCTGTGTGTACTCTCTCTGGCTCCCCCCAGCTCTCTCTCTGCATTCACAGCCCCCTGTGCATGCATCCTTAGGGCAGAGGGAACAAACTCGCAGGCCATGAACCAGATCCAGTTTGCAGGCCTGTTTATATGTATCAATTACAGAGTTTTGTTTTTTTTTTTTAATGTGCACCTCCACCCCCACTAACTTAGTTGCTATTGTTCAAAGGTCGGAAGACTTCACACAAAAGTATGGATATCTGGTTCCTCTTGGAGAAGAAAAACAAAGTCCACTTTGGGCTCATAAAGCTGCATGGCAGTAATTAGTAGGGATGGAGTAGTGTGGTCAGTTTTTGCTATAGTCCCTCTCACCCCCTCTTGTCTCACAAAGGTTTTGCTCATTTAGGCTGGCTGCTTGGCCGCTATAGAGACAGATGATCTTGTTGCCCCCGGAGAGAGAGTGGGGATGAGGTCCTCACCTGTCATTGAGGCAGCAGTAGATGATGGGGTTGTACATGGTGGAGCTCATGGCCAGCCACATGATGGCCAGATAGACCTGCTGAATAAACTTCTCCAGGTAGAGATCAGGGTTGATGTAGGGCAGGAGGAAGAAGATGTGGAACGGCAGCCAGCAGATGGCAAAGGTGCACACCACGACGATCATCATCTTGACCACCTGGCAAGAGGGTGGGGCAGGTGAGGTCAGCGCCACAGCCACCTTTTCTCACGGCTACTTTTTCTCTCCTCCCATGCCCTCAATGCACACAGTGCAGTATGCAGTGGGAAGGGTCTCTGATAACCCCCTTCGAGGAGGAGACAGGACCATTTCTATGCGGTATTGAAGGACTTTATGTCAGTAGTTCTCAGAGTGTGGCTCTGGGACCAGCTTCGTAACCACCATTGGGGAACTTTTCAGAAATGAGAATTCTTGGACCCCATCCCACACTTACCGAATCAGAAACCCTGGGGGAGAGACCCAGAATTCTGGTTTGACAAGCCCTTCGGATGACTCTGAAACACACTCATGTTTGAGAACCTCTGTGTTATATCATCCCTCTGGGCAGTGGCTGGAGCAGCCAAGGGAGAGCAGACAATGACCCAGGGGGATGGGTGTTCAGTGGGAGGAGACCTGGGAAGGAGGAGGAAGCAGCAAGGGCAGGGGGTAGGGGGCGGCGGAGAGGAGGGACCATGGCAGTAACAGGGAGGGAGGGGCAGGGACGGATCTGGACAGCTGCAGCTAGGGAGCATCTGATGGTTAAACGGGGTTTAAAAGCTTTTTATAAATAGTGAGTGATGTAACCCACTGTTTCTGTTCTCTATCACATTTTGTTCCTTTTAATACTTTTTGATGTTTGAACCAAATAAGTGTATTATTTTGTCAAAAATTAATAATAAAAGAGGACTTAAGAACTCTTCGAGGCTTTTGTAGTTAAATGTGTGTGTGTGTGTGTGTGTGTGTGTGTGTGTGTGTGTGTGTGTGTCTTAATGGCTTGACAGGTTGCCATTGCTCTTCAGGCAGGAAAGAAGTGGCTCTTGCCTATACAGGCAGGCCTTGGTTACAAATACAACGAAGAAAGATCCCCTCCCTCCTCTGTCCCACATGTCCTCCGCTCCCCTCCACTGTCCCACAGACCCAGGGATGTTTTGTGCCTACTGCCTCCCTGAGGCTTGTATGTTTGCCAGCCTGGCCCTGGGCTTGCCCTTTGCTTACCTTGCGCTTGGCAGAGACCTGCTCCTGGTAGCGGTCAGAGGAGTCCCCAGGGATCTCGCTGGCCCACAGTGTGATTCCCACTACAGTGTACGCATAGCCGATCACCAGCAAGGGGAGGAAGTAGATCAGCACAGTTACGCAGATGTGGTACCTGCAGCAGGAAGGATGGGAGGGGTCAGTCTAAGTCTAACAGGGGTGGTCAAGGCTACCAATTACCTTTCTCAGCTTTTGTCATTAATGAGCTTGGATGATAAAGCACAGCAGGGAGGCTTGCCACCTGCATTGGAAGGTTGGTTGATGTATGAATAGATAAACTAGAGAAGACAAATCTCTTCAGTTTAGGTTTTTCTTGTGGACTTTTTCCATAATAGAGCTTCCTGTTATGAGAGATTGTAGAGAAGAATAAACATTGATGAAAAGGAACTGAATCTGTTGTATACTTATGACAATTTTAGTTGATGGTAAGTTCAATATTCCTTACATTCTGTCTCCAGAAAAAGGCAATCTTACTCTGCATTAATAGAAGTATATTCTCTAGAATGAGGGAGGTGTTTGTACTGCTCGGTTCATTCCAGTCAGATTATATGTAGGCTGGGTTTTTGTGCAGGAGTGTAGACAAACTTGTACATTCAGGTGAGAACCACTAGGTGGTTGGTGAGCTCTCATTCATTCTACAGGCCAAGTGGATTCACAGGTATAAGAATAATTAGCTTGGAGGAGAGAAAATTTATCCTAGACCTAGGATTAGTGGGTGAAAACCACGAAATATAAGCGAGTTCTAAGTCTGGCCCTTAAACATATATCTGCAGATGGAAGCTTCCTGGGGCCCTGAGTTACAACTTGCAAGACAGGTACCAACTGATTTGAGTTTGACTGGGACATGGGCAGGAAATAAGCTTTTGCAGTATTAAACCACTGAGAATTTTTTCTCCAAGATTCTATCTAAATTCAAGTTAACACAGGGGCGCCTGGGTGGCTTAGTCGGTTAAGCGTCCGACTTTCGCTCAGGTCATGATCTCGCGGTTCGTGGGTTCGAGCCCCGCGTCGGGCTCTGTGCTGACTGCCAGCTCAGAGCCTGGAGCCTGTTTCGGTCTGTGACTCCCTCTCTCTCTGACCCTCCCCTGCTCACGCTGTCTCTCTCTCTCTCTTAGAAATAAATAAAACATTAAAAAAATTTAAAAAAATAAATTCAAGTTAACACATAGTGTAGTATTGGTTTCAGGTGTAGGATTCAGTGATTCATCACTTACATACAATACCCAGTGCTCATCACAAGTGCCCTTCTTAGTACCTATCACCCATTTAGCTCATCCCCAACCTTTCTTCTCTCCAGCAACCCTCAGTTCTCTGTAATTAAGAGTCTCTTATAGTTTGCCTCCCTCTCTGTTTTTATCCTATTTTATTTTTCCTTCCCTTCCCCTATGTTCATCTGTTTTGTTCTTGAATTCCACATATGAGTGAAATCATATGATATTTTTCTTTCTTTGACGGACTTTTTTCACTTATTTCACTTATTTATTCACTTAGCACAATACACTATAATACACTGTTGTTCCGTTAACATCATTGTAAATGGTAACATTTCATTCTTTTTGATGGCTGAGTTGTAAATATGTACCACATCTTCTTTATCCATTCATTAGTCAGTGGACATTTGGGCTCTTTCCATAATTTGGCTATTGTTGATAAACTACTGAGGTTTTGATGTTTGTTGCAACAATGTAACTTATTCTATTCTGTTTAAAGCAAGTGTCCTTCTAAGTAGGATGCTAAAATAATTGTTTGAATTTTGAGAAGGGACATTTTTTTTTTAAATGTTTTATTTATTTCTAGGAGAGAGAGAGAGAGCGTTAGCAGTGGAGGGTCAGAGAGAGAGGGAGTCACAGACTGAAACAGGCTCCAGGCTCTGAGCTGGCAGTCAGCACAGAGCCCGACGCGGGTCCCGAACCCACGAACCGCGAGATCATGACCTAAGTGAAAGTCGGACGCTTAACTGACTAAGCCACCCAGGCGCCCCTAGAGAAGGGACATTTTTCTCAGGGAGTCCTTCGTACATCTGGCTAGTTACAGCCCTTTTCTCCTGTTGTGAATTTAATGGAGAAGCTCAGTCTCTTAGTAGTAGTAATAATAGTGGGAATGGCTAATATTTTAGGGAATTCACTCTAGATCACTATGTTGATAATAATGTTAATGATAGTATTAATAGCCTAAATGGTCATTAGATTTTATTTAGTGAAGAGCACAGTACCATGCACTTAACTACTATTATTCTTATTTAGTCCTCAAAACAAATTATTCAGCAGGTACTATCATAATCCCATTCTGTAGATGAGGAAACTGAAGTTTAGAATTTAGTTAACTTTCCCAAATTCACAGCTGGTAAAAAGAGGAGCTGGGATAAGAAGGCAGGACTGTGACCCCAGAACCAGCTTTTTGTCACTGGAGAAAAGTCATCCAATGATGACTCTGTTCATGCTTGTTCTCTGAAATGATTTTTTTTCCAATAAAGAAAACCCACTTATTCACTTAATTTCTCTTTATCGGTACTGTGTTTTCAGTTATTTCTTTGCAAAGCCCCACAGTTTTACTTATTCAGCTTCCTCTGAATATTAAAATTTGCAACTTGGAAGACACTTGAAGAGCTCTTAAATAATGCACAACAGCTTCAGCCAAGCAGGGTGCTGAGCATATACATTTTGGCAGACAGGCTACTCCAATAGCCTCAACAGGCTGTTAAGGTTCCCCTTGATTGTTACCTCCTCTGGGAGCCTCTGGGTTCTCCAGTCACCATGGCAATGAGTGCATACTGAGTTTCCTGCCTGATCTCAGCCTCTCCCCCTGATTGCTGTAGTTACCACTTGGAGATAAGGGGAGAGGGAGACCCTGGGAAACTTTAGGCTGCACCTGCTTCTCTTCCCTGGAAGAATAGTCCTGCCTTATGCAAACAAATACGTGGCTGGTGATCAAAACACATGAATTGAGCTTTGTGGGGCCAGTGCCTCAGAGGGCCGAACATCCATATGGGAGTCAGGGACCTGATGGGAGGACACTGTAGTCCAGTCACCTGTGCTCTTAACGCTGGACCAGTGGTTCCCAAACTTGAGCCAGCTTCAGACTCACTTGGGGGGCTTGTACGAACACAAAGTGCTGGACCTCACCTAGACTTTCCCACCTAGCAGATCTGAGGTGGGCCTGAGAATCTGCTTTTATAACAAATTCCCAGTTCATGCTGCTTCTGGTCCAGATTCAGACTTTGAGAAACACTGTCCTAAACCAATGGTTCTCAAGCCCAGAATCACATGAGAATCACCAGGGGAGCTTTTAAAATGATCATTGCTCAGAGACACATTTAATTGACCCTGACTGTAGAAGCAGGAAACCACGGCTGAGAAAATTTCCCGAGTTATTCTGGCATATGGTTAGCCCTGAGAAGCACTGTTTCAGGTCCAAGTCTGCAAGCCTGTTGGAACCCCATTGTCTGAGATTTTATGACTTCACTAAAGTGTGTGGTAACCATATCTTTTAGTTTCTGTATCTGATGCTTTGAGTTCTAGGGTCTTGTTGACCTGGAAAGGACTGTGCCTTGCCTTAGTTAATTCCTAGAGATAACTCTGCTGGTGTGCCTTTCATATACAAGCTAACCAACCCAGGGCCTCTACTCCCCACCCATTTGTTTTCTCAGGGGCTCCTACACTGTGGGATGCTATCCAGCTGCCATGATCACACCAGAGCCACTTCAGACAGGGGCGCAGATCTTATGGAAATGACTCAAACTAGCCAATTCTAGGCCTGTTTACCCTGCCTCACCCATTCCTTCTCTGGAACACACAATAAAAGCTTTCCTGAAGTCCCCTATGCTCTCTCTCTGCCTGTAGCCCTGCATGGCGTATTTGTCCCTTTGTCCTGGGAACTATGAGTAATAAACTGTCTTTTCAATGGCAATCATGTCCTCATCTGTTGGCCTCACCATACTTGAATAGAATATAAAATCTACACTTTAAAACAAAGTACCCTGTGGAAAATCACAGATCAGACCATTAGGAAAATGCCAAGCTGAATCAGTTAACGTAAATTATCAGCCTCTATTTTTTTTTAAAGAAGGAAAAGCAGTTTTCTTACTTATTTGTAAACAATAAAAAGTATGAAATTAATTTCAGTTAAAAAGTACTATAGTCAGGTAGGGCATTAATTTGTCCATTCCAGAACGGAGATAATTAAAAATAACATAAGAATATGACCCAGCAGGGGCGCCTGGGTGGCTTAGTCGGTTAAGCGTCCGACTTTCGCTTAGGTCATGATCTCGCAGTTTGTGGGTTCAAGCCCCGCGTTGGGCTCTGTGCTGACTGCCAGCTCAGAGCCTGGAGCCTGTTTCAGTCTGTGACTCCCTCTCTCTCTGACCCTCCCCTGCTCGCACTGTCTCTCTCTCTCTCTCTCCTAGAAATAAAAAAAAAAAAAATATGACCCAGCAATTCCACTTCTAGATATATACCCAGAAGATTTGGAAGCAGTGGCTCAAACAGATACCTACACACCAATTTTCATAGCAGCACTATTCACCATAGCCAAAAGGTGGAAGCAACCCAAATGTCCCTCAAAAATTGAGTGGATAAACCAAATATGGTGTACACTTGCAATGGAATATTATTCAGCCATGAAAAGGAATAAATTTCTAATACATACCACAACATGGATGAACCTCGCAAACATGTTAAGTGGATAAGCCAGACATGAGAGGACAAATATTGGATTATTCCACTTAAATGAAATATCTAGAATAGGCAAATTCATAGAGACAGAAAGTGGTATAAATGTTACCAGGGGCTGGGGCGAGGGATTGGGATAATAGGTACAGAACCTGGGATAATGGAAAATTTCTGGAAATGGATTGTGGTGATGGTTGCAACAATACAGTAAATATAAAATGGTAAATTTTATGTTCCATATATTTTATCACAATAAATTTTAAAAACTCATGAGAAAATTCTAGTGATGCTGGGGTCTTAACATCTCCAGATGAGTAGTTTTCTGCTCCCTCCAGGAGCCCCTCAACAATCTCCCCTTCTAAAATCATAAAAATCCCCAAACCTGTAGGTTCAATTCTTGGATGGGATCAAAGGTTACATGTATCCTCCTAAATCTTGCTCAAATAAATCCCTTTTCCATAGAAATGGCAAATACTTGGGGTGCCTGGGTGACTCAGTGGGTTAAGCATCTGACTTTGGCTTAGGTCATGATCGCTGTTTATGAGTTTGAGCCCTGCATCGGACTCTCTGCTATCAGTACAGTGCCCACTTCTGACCCTCTGTACCCCTCTTTCTCTGCTCCTCCCCAACTTGTACTCTTCCTCTCAAAAATTAAAAAAAAAACACATTAAAAAAAGAATTGCAGATACTCAATCCAAACAATGTCCGAATTATTAAAAATTCTAAATGACTCTCCATTAAAACATTTTTTTTTTAAATTTCTAAATGACTCTAGGTCAAATGAATGAAATTCCATCATTAGAAAATATGAAAATAAATATGTTTCTTCCTCTTGATACCTTCTTGGAGAAGCTTGACCATATTCTTGTAGTTAATTGGAGATAATCCTGTTTCGTAATTTTTTAATTTTTGCCAAAATCATTATTTTAGAGAACCAGTCAGTGGAACTTCGTGTAATCCTATGTGCAGCTTCACGCTATGTTTTGACTCTCCAATCTGGTATTTCCTAGGTTCCTGCCAGGCAGGGTTTTATCAGCTCTTAAGAGTTAATTTCTTCCTTGGGAGAACAGAAGAGGGGTCAGGGATGCATCTGAAGTGAACCAGAGAAAGGACCAGGAGTGACAGCAAGAGGCTGTGACAGTAGGAGTGGCATGGTTCCCACTTGATGAGCTATGTCCATGGATTCAGATCATTAAATTCTGCCAGTGGACTTCCCGGTACTCTAAGAAGTCAAGTGCATGCAACAGTCTCCCATCTTTGTTCCCTCCAGGTCACCCCTCTAGAAGGGGCATACTTTATAGGATAAACTTGCTGAATACAGACTGTCACCCCAAATCCTGCGGATTCGCCTGTCCTTAATGCTGTAATGCTCACTAATCCAGGTTTACTAACGTCTTACTATCTGGAGTCGCTCGTTGTTCAAGCACCAACAGCTCCAGTCTCTGAAATAATCCTCAGCATTTGAAATCAGATAGTTGGTTTTATTAAATAGTATCCAGTGCGTCTTCTAATGCACTTCATGGAGGCTCTAGGCGCCCTGAGGTGGGGGAGGATGGGGACCGAGAGGGCAGAGGTCTGGGATTCCTGCTCTCACTCTAATAAGCAACTCTGCTTTGCTGGGTTTATACGTGGCTTTCTGTGGATCAGGTTGTTAGGTGGTGGTGGTGGGAGATTTCAGCTGTCACAGAAAGGTGGATAAGCACTGATGTGTTCATGCGTTCACCCTCATTCAATGCGCTAACCTTCTCTACAATTTCCACACCTGTAATCAGCCCCTTACTTCTTGAATACCCCCTGTGACGTGCTGCTCACTAGCTATAAAGCCAGCTCCATTGTCAGAGACGCAGATTCTCAGACCTCACCCCTGATGCACCAAATCAGAAAATGTGCGCTTCAACAAGACTTCCTGGTGATTCATGTGCAAGTTCCAGTTTGAAGCACAGAGCTCTCAATCTTGGCTGCACACTGGAATCGCCTGGGGAGTGCTGAAAAATTCCAATGTGTGGGTTCCAGCCTCAGCTTCTGATTTAAGGCTGGCCTGCAGTGCTGCCTGGCGTCCGAGTTTCAGAAACTCTCCAGGGGGTTCTCCTTGTGGCTGGGGCTGACAGTCATCGTCGTTGAGCCTACTGCTCCTGGAAGCTGCCACTGATGTCGTTCCTCCTTAAACTGAGAACCTATGGCCCGGTAGCTTTCATTACATCCTAGCTCATGGGCAACAAGCTGAACCCACCTCCTGGAATGGTCCTGCCAACTTGAGGTGACCAGGAACACACCTGTCCCTGGAGCCATCTTGGCATCTCGGACTTGTGGGACCACCCCTCAACAGACACGAGCTGAGCAGCACCCCCTTCCTGCCCTTCCTTGAGCCGCCCTCAGGCTGTTTCTTCGAGTACAGTGCTAGATTCCTGCTGGACTTTTCACTTCCTTCAAAAAAATTGTCTTCTTTACAGATAAATGTGGTTTCTTTGCAGTAAATGAAAAAAAATCCATTTATTTCTTCATTCACTTTCACTTCTAGACGTTAGACCAAATCCCAAAGCCCTTGGAGTCCTATTGGAGACAGAAAGAAACTGTAATCTACTAATTCATAAATTCTGTGGCCCTGTGTGAAATGTCCAAGCCTCTGTTCTCATCACCAGGAGCTCAGTCTTGGGGGGACACAGAGAAGTGCCAAAGAATGTGACATAGGAAGTGACTGCCAAAGAAAAAGGAAGTGACTGACAGCGGTTACCTCTTTAAGTGGAGTGGAGACACTGAGACAGGTGTTAGGGGCCTTTATAAATATATGTGAAATATAAAAAATATATACATATGTAAATAATTTTTAAAATTACCCTGAACACAGTAGGCATTCCGTTACTAAGTGCATGGAGAGTAATGGGAGTGCAGAAGTGAGACTCTCAACCAATCCAATTAGGGAAGCTTCCTGGAGGAGGTGTGCTTGGCCAGGCCCTGATATATGTGCAGGAGGTGGACACTATTAGTAGTGAAAACAGCAAGTGCAAAGTCACCAAGGGAGGATATTGGCACGATGCCATGCTATGCTGTGACTCGGACTGAATGGAACATGGCTGTGTGAGGAAGTATCAGGAGACTTGGCCAGAAAGGTAGACAGAGGCCAAATCATGAAGTGTATTTTATGACACACTGGGGAGTTTATAATGAATTCTGAAGTTGATGGGAAACCACAAAATGGTTTTAAACAGGGGGGCTTGGATGGAGGCAGGCAAGGCTAGAGGCACCAGCCTTTAGGATGCTGTGTGAGGTTCCAGGCTGGAAGCGACAGTGACCTGAGCTAGAGCCATGGCAGACTGGATGGATGGGGAGGAGAGGAAGGCCCCAAGGGATGCTGTGGCTGGGAGGAAAAGCTGGTGGCCTTGGCTGCCACTGGGCAGTTCAGCTGGATCTATGGCCTGTGTGAATGGGGGAGAGTGAGGCTGACTGTTGCAGGTATGGGCAGGAGGGCAGCCTCCGGGAGGAGGAGGAGGCTTGTTAGGGAGGTCAGCAAGTTGATGTTTGGACATGCTGACCTTCAGAGCAGGCAGTTGAGTGTCTGGATCTGGCTGGAGCTAGGACAAGAGGCCTGGGTGGAGATTAGATTTGGAGCCCTTGGGTGTTCCCAAACCCTGAGAAGATGAGAGGAGAGAGGAGGGTAGAGGCCCACATGAGGGTAGAAGGGAAGGAGGAGGGTGAGGGGTGGGGGTGGGGTGGGGAGAGAGAGTCCAGGGGCTGGTGGAGCCTACCTGTGGGAGGAGTGTTGGGAGGGCAGAGGGTGGGATGAGTACAGGAACTTGCTCTGCAGTTTTGGAAATAGGAGGTCATGGGCAGATTCCATTTTTGTGGGGTGGTCAGCGATGGCTAGAGCAGGTGGGCCAGCTGATGGGGAGTGAGGTGTGCAGGCAGTAAGTGGGGACTCCATTCCTAAACTGCTGGGTCACAAAAGGCAGGGAGCAGGCAGAGGCCAGAGGAAGACATCTGCATGGGATAACAAAGCCCCCATGTACACTCCCCTGCTTGTGACCAGTCCACCCTTGGATATAGTGATGTGAGGACATGTTCTTCTCACTGTCCTTCAGAGAGGGGCTGGGATCATACTTCCATCAACTGCATCCAGGCATAAGCTTGGGGCAGAAATGCCCCCGAGTCATCCTCTTTCAGGGTATGCTGACTAATCAAGGCAGATGCTCAAGTGTATTCATTTAATTCATGGAAAAATTAGGTCCCCCAAGTTCCTACCCC